GTTTCCGGTTCTTTTTGAAGTTGTACGAAATGATGAATCATGTCTTCGTGATATGATAAATTGTGTGTGTGGCTTTGTTTCTGACGCCGGATTTCGAGGCAGAGTGATGTAAGATAATAAGATAATATTTTTCATATTGCTATAGATATTATATACACACGAATGATTTCCTTAAACTTTCCTTTTTTTTTTTTTTTTATTCAGTTATGTACAAATATGTCATGCTCTCATTTCCACTGGATATTCAAAGGTTGACTTTGAAAAATATTTTTTAAATGGTTTGGAAAAACTTTCTTTAGATAATGTAGTGAATGTTAGAATTGCATTAGGGAGACTTGTTGGAGAACTTGGCCAGCTAGGTAAGTATTAAATATGTCTTGTTGATTATTAAAATGTTAAACCATAATTTAGTAATTTCGTATTATACTTTTTGACTTCAGAGCAATATTATCAAGATTCGACAACTCATCCCTCTCAAATAACTTCCTTAATAAATAAACTTGCTGGGGATTCAGAAGTCGATGTACGTAGTTTTGTGTCCCCAATTTTATTACCTGAAGAAAAGTCGAAATTTACAATTTGTTAAGAAATCATTGTTTAAGAAATCATTGAGACAAATTCACCAAGTTTTTCAGGTTATGACCGCAGCAAATCCCACGGGATTTTTTTTTTTATTTAAAACCTCAATACATTCAAGAATATACAATAAAAAAATCAATCGGGGATGCGCTCCCCGACATTATCGATTAAAAAGATGGCACCTATTTTTCATTAGTACAATTACATTATCTATAATTGTTTGATGAATTTGATCCATTTCTCCATCAAATACAGTAACACTCTAATTCATCAAGATTTTTTCCCATCGTTTTTCTACATTAGTATTAATAATTTGTTATAGATTTTCAGTTCGGTTAGTTTAAATCGGGGCTGTTCAAAGTATGGAGGTAATTCTACAAAAAGTTAATATAATTGGGTACAACAATATTATGCTTGCAACAACCAAGAGTAGATATAATCTTAGGATTGTTATTTAGACAATGTCTAATGAAAAAATATCATTAGGCTTCATATGTCTAATTGCTTTTTTTATTTGTCTAATGGATCTAATCAGCCACAATTTAATAATCTTGGCCAATCTAGTAGTTTAAGGATATTTTTTTCATATGAATTTTTTAGCTACTTTGCATTGGTACATCCGCGATTGCCAATTTTTTCATAATCTCAGGAATAAATTTCTTTAAATTCCTACAAAAGATCATGTTTTTAGAACAATACCTATTTTATCTTTTTTACTAAATGCACCCCATACAAAACTTTTAACTGCCTTTTTTTTGGAAACGACATGGACACCTTTTGAGGATAGTTTTTAGAACGGGTACCACCTCACAAGCTGTCTAAGTGTTTTGGACTCTTGAAATGATTTTTCTAGGGCGCACGTGACATTTTAATGATTTTTTAGGAATAATTTTCTGTTTCATTTTACGCGGTTCACGTACCCAAAATTATTAAACAACTTAAGCAGATTTATTTTTCGACATTGGAATTGTTATAGGTGTTTTTTTTTCATCAAAGTTATACAAGAATGTATTATCGCGTGTTCCGTTATGCGATTTTTTTTACGAAAATTATTTTCATGCCTATGTATCAATCGACATAACCCATTGGCCAACCCTGGACATGGGGAATGAAAAATGGGGCATGAAAATAATTTTCGGACCTTTTAAGGGAAAACCACACTTTGGACTTTAGGAATTGAGTATGGTTCTCATCAATGTTAATACAATATATATGTACCATAAAATCTCAAAATAGCGGGCATGGGCGTTATTTTTGAGTTACGGCTCGAATTAAGTTTAATTCGAGATTTTGCGGTTAAAATATAGCTATCTAAAGTAGCACCTGACTGAAATTAAGCGCGTTAATTCTGGGTAGGTGCTGTTTTAGATACCTAGATTCACTCCAGATATAACAAAGACATGATTTTTTTTATCATTGTTAATGGACAAGTTAGGCTACTCTTTGTTTAACAACATAAAATACAGTATATAACTCATAAGAGTGGGAGAGAGTACAGTCAGACTTCCCTAAATGCATGGCCTTATTTGACCCAAACTCATTTAACACTTATAGACTTTACCTAAATACAATACCTCTCTAAATGCAAGATGTTTGGCCGCCCCTTGGCTATGCATTTAGAGGTCTGACTGTATTAAAAAAAAAACACAAATTTATAATATACAGTGATTCTATTGGCTGTAAAAAATATGAAAAATATCACCATTAATATTCAAAAAAAAAAAAAAAAATATGAAAAATATAAGGCCAATACTGCAATTTTGATAATGATTGGTTAATATGATGTATTTTTTAAAAAAAAAACAGGAAAGTGGGTTTTCTATTCAACAAGATTATTTTCAGATGGAAAAGTTAGGATAAAAAATCAACCAATAAAAGTAACTTTAATTAGTCAAATTCAAATCAATGTATGAAATGACTATTAAAATAATTTGCGTTGCTCTTAGCCGGTATTAAGATAATTCTGGTACACGATAAACATAATTCTACCCGATAATTATGAACCAATTTTAACGCGGTTAAACGGTTTCGATCCTTACAAATCTTATGCTTATGTTCAGCTCTTATTTACTTTTTCAGAATATGCGCTCTTTACGCGTATATAGCGGATTTCAGCAAACAGTATAACTACGAACCAATTAAAATCCAAGGATCTTCCCAATCAGAGATTTAAGAAATTCTCCAATTTGCGTATACGTTAAGCTCATGGATGTCTCAGAAGATAACGACAGCAATAGTGGTGAAGACCAATCGTCTCTTTTTAATGAAAACATAGCTCATGATCTATTAGAATTTGTAAGCCGGCTTGTGTCTTGTTCTCTTTTTACTTCCTTTTCATTCATGTTTATTTTCATTTAGGAAACAGAAAAGGGAATAGTAAAAGACCCTACTAGTTTAACATTTGGTATAAGTGGTGAAGATCATACTTTGGGAAACGCTTTACGATATGTAATCACATTAAAGTGCGTTTATTTTTTCATGAATCAGATATTAATAATGTGCTAATTATTAAGAATTTACTAATTCACTCAATAATACGTTTGAGTAGTCCTGAAGTAGAATATTGTGGATATTCTATTCCACATCCATCAGAAGATAAACTCAATATCCGTATTCAAACTACCGGTATGATAAATAATGAACACATGTGATTTATATTTTTCGAGACAAATACACAAATAATGTTTACATCAGTGTTGTTATTGAACATGTTTAATCGACTGGCTAATTGGACATAAGTTCGAAATAAATTTGATCATATAAAAAGTCAATTGGACTTATGCTAATTAGACGAAGGCTAAGGCTAATAAAAAATATTAGACTTAAAGCTAGTAACAACACTGGGTTTACATAATAAAGTACACCAATGCTTCAAACAGCAAATACAGTGTATTTATTATAACCATTTATTAATTACAATTTGTAATTTATATGATTCTTAGAAAACACGACGGCAATTGAAGCAATGCGTAAAGGTCTTGAGGATCTAAAAATCTTATGCGATCATATCAAGGAGACTTTTATTCGGTCAAACCGACAATTCGATCTTCACCACTAATTGGAATGTCCGGTGTGAGGATTAGGATTTTAAATAGTTCGCCTAGTCTAGTTCTACTTCAAAACTGATAAGTTCAAACTAGTAGTTTATAGTACTTTACAGAAACTTATATATTTTGCTAAATATATTTATCATATAAAAATAATATAATTAAAATATAATTACAATATAATATAATAATTTTAAAACTGTTAACTTAATAATATTTAAGGTGTTAATATATGTTAAAAATTTTGAAAAAGAAACATTTTAAAATTAATTATAAATATTTAAATATTAAAACTATTAATAAAATTTAACAATGCTACTAATTTGCACCTATGGTGTTGAACACCATAATTGGCTATATTTCAAAAATGTACTAGCTAACACCTTTCAGGGGTATTAAGTAAAAATGTTCAGAACCCCCAAAAATTTTATGCTAACTAAAATTTGGACCTTTATATCTAACCCCTATCTTACTCCAAAGTTGCACCCTAACCCTAAATTTTAGTTAAAAACTTATTAATATCATAAACACTATAGGTGTATTTTATATTATTTGTTAATTTTTTATTATTTAAAAAAATATATTTATAATATATTTATTATATAATAAATATATATATATATATTTATTTTTTGAACATATTGGCAGCCTCGCCAGTATCTTTATTAGATCAAAGCATATGCACAAGATACATCTAAACTATTTAAGTTACAGATCTGACATCACTCGGCTGCTTCTAAGGGTGCTCAAGTGTGGTCTGCCTTACAGTTTAAGGCAATTGCTCATACCGGAGGGTTATACCAAGTTAGCCTAAGAAACCATTACAAGATGATTTCAAAATGAACGAATTCTTCACTATATTAAGTTGGCAATTTTTCTTTTTTAAACTATCTATCTTTTTTGAACAAAGTTCTAAACCAAATTTTCTAAGAATAAACCAAATAACTTCCTCTTTCAAAACAAGGATATTGTCACAATTCTTTTGTTTGTATTTATATCTCTTTTTCCTTTTCTTTTTCTTCCAGTTTAATTTGTCTTTTTCAATATAAGACCTGGGTCTTGGAAGTTTTCTCTTGTTTAATTCTACAACTTTTCCTTCCTGGTTTATAGCTTCGTACTTCTTTTCTTCTTTTTCTTGAGGGCTTGTTCTAGCGGTTTCTTCCAGGAATATTCTTTTATATGTTCTCTTTTTCTTCTGGTACTTTAAGTCTTCTTTTGATTTCTCCACTTCAGGGTTTTGGTCAGTCTGCCCAAGTTCTCTTTTTTCTATATTCTGGGTATAAGAGTCTTCTTCCTTTCTTTTCTTGGTCTTCCTATTTTTCTTTTTCTTCCTGAAACTTGGTCTTCTTCCCAAGAATCTTTCTTGTATTTCGTTAAAGATCTTTCGATTTTTGAGATATCCTACAAAGATCTTTTCTAGTATTTCTAATAAAATATCTTTCTTTTTCTTTTTCTAATTTTTGACACTCCTCGGCCTATGTGATAATACTGTGCTTTAAGACAAATTCATATTCAAGTTCCATTAAAACTTCAGTCTATATATCCATTTTGTCAAAAGATCTTTCTTCGTCTTTTTCCACCTTTTCTTATTATACTGTGAATCATCTTTAAGGCTAATTTGTTCTAATACTTTTGTCAACTATTCTTCTGAAGTTGCTAATATGATTTTTGGTCTTGATTTCTCTTGAATCTTGTTTAGTGCTTTAGCCTACATGAGACTAGAACCATCTTGTCTCTTGATTTTGACTTGTTTTTCTTTTCTAATTTTTCTTCTTTTTCTTTTCTGATATGTTAGGGCAAATCTGGTAGATATTTTAAAATATAGTAGTAGAGTCTTTAAGTCTAAAATATTATTCTGCCTTTGTCAGATTTTCCTTTGTTCTTGGAGTCTCTTGCTCTAAACTATATTTAATTTCGATTTTATTTCAGCAGCTTGTCTTTTTTCTTGTTGAACTTGCATCTTTTTCTTTTCTTTTAATTCTTTTCTTGTTTTTTGTTAGTTTGTTGTTGTAGTCTTGACAGATTCTTTAAACTGAAGTATTGTAGAATTCAGAACTGTTTTGTTGAGCTGTCTTTGTTAGCTTTTCCTTTGTTCTTGGAGTCTCTTGCTCCAATCTATATCTAATTTCATCTTTAATTCAGCATGTTGTTTTTCCCTTTCTACTAATAATCTTTTAACTCCATTGGCTATTTTTAATTTTAC